CTACGCCCCCTGGCCGCTACGCGGCCCAACCCCCTGAAGGCGCTCCGCGCCATCAATGGGCCGCTTCGCGGCCCTATTTTTACCCTCCTATCAGTGTTAGTTTTATTTTTCCCCTAAAAAATTACGATATGAGGTATACTTTAATTTTAAACTTTACTTAAAATTACTTTAAAATTAAAAGGACGCGTTTTGGAATGACTGCTTGATGAAATATTGCAGTAAAACAATGAACAATGATAGTCAGGTAATAATTAAGGTTTCATGAGTCGGGGATCGAACCTACATTGAGTTCAAAGTGGACGCATTTGCCGTCTTAGGCGACTCGACCACCGCTCGACTTGAGATCGTCGGCGCGAATCTTGTGTAGATAAGTGTAGAGCTGATGCGCAGGCTACACAGCTACTGCGCAACCTCCTCGACCACTGCGCATCCTCCCGCGCATAGCGGTAGCAGTACCGGAGCATTCTGTAAACTCACTCACTTTTATAACGTGATTTTAAAAAAACCTGGGTCCTTTTTCCAAAATCTGATTAGAGCGGGCTCATCTAGGGCCTATTACCTGTCGATTTACGCAAAAATCATGGAAATCGGCCCGGTAGAACGCTCAAACGAACTATGACAAAAAGTATAAAATTACATTGTTTAAATGGGAGAATTCGCAACTTTACCACGTAATATAAAAAAACCTGGGCCATATTTTGAAAATCTGAAAAGAGTTGGCTTATCTAGACACAATTGCCCGTCGATAGCCGCAAAAATCATGAAAATCGGCCCGGTAGAACGCTGGAACTATGCGTCACCAGTTTCGCAAAATTAGGAGGTCTTGGAGCTTGTAGTATAGATATGGACGTTTCCAATTAATTTTGGTAGCACCGCAACTCAAGTTGCGGTAGTATACCGTAACATTTGGGTTAGTAACCTAATTTATTGGGATACTACCAAAATTAATTGGGATACTACCACAATTAATCGGGGTATTACCACACTTAATTGGGAATGTCCATATCATCCAACAGTTGGGACTTAGCCCCTACCTCTTTTTTTCCGTGCCGAAATATTCATCGATGACGTCACGGAAGCTCCAATCGCTGACGCCATCGGAGTGACCATTTTTGGTCATTTCTATGTTTCGGGCCGTTTTCAGCTATTTCTGACCGAGAGTTGTTCAGTGACCAATTCTGAAAAACTCGGCATCAGCGGGCCAACAAGGTGTCTGGACGACACGAGTGGACACTGGGTCCGTCGATTGTAAAAGCCCGGGTGACCGCAGACCGACCAATAAAACGGGCTGAAATATTGCGGCATCACGCACTGCTCGCCAAACCGCGTACCTCGCGCAATAACTCCATGCGTGTGTGCGGTTTTCGCCGCGGGGGCGGCCGGTGGGCGCTCACCACAAATCGAACGGCATCGGCCCGCGAGTGCATTCTCGTAGTGGGGTCCACCGCTGTGCGTAGGATGAAACCGCGTAAACTACATTGAAATACGGAGTAAGTGCGTGTTTTTTGCGCAGACCACCAACATGTCACTCGGCTGTTTTTGTTGAGATCCCGGGTTCGATTCCCTCTCCCTTTCCAGGTGAATTCTGTTTTCGTAAGTTAACGCCAAACGATTGAACCGGTGACTGTTGTGGTTTGAAGTGGAGGTTAATCGCCTACTGACATGACTTGGTGCCATAGACGATTTATTTTAGGGACCCCACACTACTCTTCCGTGCAACGCAAAAACCCCGTAAACGCATTTTTATATTTTCTGGAAACAATGTATCATAGCAGAAAAACTTGTCTACCTTGGGACAATGTTTTTACAAAATTCTTTCGCATATACTATCCAGAACTTAACCTGAAAATTTGAGATGCATGGTTGGTTGGTGGTTTGAGATGGTTAAAACAGTTTTTATTTCATGAAGTGTTAAGTTCCAAAAAACGAGGGAAAATGTTGATGGATTTCCGACGTTCTTGCTTAGCACGGCAGTATTATCTTCCCTTTTTTGCCTCAATAAAGGAGAACGTCGTAAGATCCTCCTGTAGTTGCCAAATTTCTTTCAACAACGAAGGAAAGGTTCCCTGTATCCTATACTTCAACTTCAAGGAAAGGTAAAAGACAAACCGTCCGTCCGAACAAACCCTAAGATTCTGTTTACTATGCTCCGACGGTACTTACCAAACGAGGGAAAAACGTCGTATGGTTATTCCTGCGATGTTGTATTTCCGCTCTTAAAGTATTAATATTTGAGAAAAATTACGAATATTGAACGCCGCTTGAAATTCTCAGATGCTTTAGGTCACATCGTGAAGGAAATTCTCTGAAAGATTAAACGGAAAATATTCGCGAGTTTTCCTGAAAATTGGAATTTTATCAAAAGAAATTTGGCAACGCACGAAGGCTCATACGACATTTTTCCTTAGCCAAGCAGTCTGGCCGGTCCACGTGAAGGTCAGGCGACAATGCACTCATCGAACGAGCCATGCAACATCAGATCCGATTGCAATGTAATTGATTTTCACTCCACTGACCCAAGACCAGGAAAGATCTACCCGCGTTATTTCTCTAATTTCCGTGTCTTTTCTGACCGGAAAGATTAATTCCTCACCTTATTAATTAGCGTTGACAGATTTCCCAGGAGAAAAAGGACTTATCTTGAAGGATGGGGAATCCTCAGCGATCACGAAAAAAGGTATTTTAGAACAAGCTGGCAATAACCCGACCCAACTGACTTGATGTTTGTTTTGAAATCATGGTGATTGTTCTCAGAATGATAGTTATGCCCTTTCAACTAGGCAAGTCACTGATCAATGAAATTAAATAAAAACTAAAATTCAATAACCGTGGCATGATTTTGGCCTTGTGGGTTCGACAAGAATTTAGTAGATGGGAGATTGGAGGATTTTATCGTACTCTAACAATGTTGACCAGAAAATGGTACAACTTCATTCATATAGCTGCGTGTAAAAAATCGGCATTCCCTTAATCTTAGGCAAAAGTTGAAAAGCAACCATTCCTACACCGGCCAACTATTTGAGGGACTCTTAAAAAATTAGCGTCAAAGATAAGAAAGAATTGAGACTTAATATTCATCAATGTCTAAAAAGAACCCCCTGAGAATGGATTTTTGAAGTTTGCGGTGCGTAAGTCCTTTATTATTCAAGTAAAAGAGACCATATCGACGGTGCAAGTCGGCAATCACATAACTCGTTTGCGGTGTCTGAAAATTTCCGCCTCGATGTTATTTCTTTAAAAGAAACAAGCAGGAAGCTCCAACGCATTGGCGTCGGAGAGCGGCTCTGGGGGCAGTAGTTGTAGTCAAGAATGAGGGCCTAGACACATTTTGTCATTGATGTACAATCCGACAACTGTCGATTCATGTTTTGTAACTTAGCAGATTTACGTAGCCGGTGTATAAATGTGTATTGGGCTTTGATATGGCGAATACATGGCATTATCACTTGTTGTATACTTTTAATTTTGAAAGCTCTTTGGAGGTCCGCTTCCTAAAAAATCTCTGGTTGATAAGTCGTTAAGCGAGGCTGCAAAAAATTTGCATTTTTATATCTGAAAGTGTAGGTATTGGTTTTTTGTAAAATCAAAACAATATCGAATTGCGATATATTACACAGTTAAGATAGGGCTATGTCCTGTCGTAAGCGGCGACATACAGTCGATATCATTTCAATAATCGCCCCAATGGCCACGATAGTTGTTAGACGTTTACGGTTTCCCTGGTAACCTTTGTTTGCTATCAGCTGATATCAAGTAATATGACTAGGAAGCTCCAACCCAGTGGTTAAAGCTTCCTTAACCGCGAAAACTTTAAAATTCAAATTTTCAAATTTTGAACGTAAAGTACATTTTTTCCATCACGAGATAAAAGCACAAACAAGTTTTGAATTGTTGACTGTATCACCATGATTCCAAAAATACAATACACAACATAGCATTGACTAACAATAAAACAGTATGCAATAGAATAAAGTCATGACAAGGAACATAGCCGAAAATGGCGCCGATTCCCATCAACCAACGCGCGGTCTCTACAATGTAACATGCTGCATTGATACTCCCCAGCTGGGACCGTCCGGAATAGCAGCTCTAGTGCAAGCACCAGAGCCGCTAAAACTAATTGACATCATTCCTTGAAGTTTGTGCAGAATTTTCTTCGCACAATGAAGAAAAATCATGGCAGTTTTAAAGAATTGCCGTTGAATAGTTTTCCGTTTAAAAAATAAAGTATGACAGGAAGTCTGCGACGTCGCAAACCGATTTATGTGATTGCCGACTTGCACCGTCGATATGGATAAGGAAGAAGAAAAACCGAATAAACTAATATACGAAGAGCAAAAAATAAAATACAATTGGAAGAAGAGTGAAATGCAATTTTTGTTTCAAATTTCATTCTCTTTCACTCTTTTAGCTTTTGCGTATTACAATAGCTAGGTTTTTCAGAGAATTTGTGTCCGTGGTTTGATCTAAAGTGTCTGAACGTTTCAAAGGAAAATAGTCATAACTATTCTCAAAATTGATCTTGCTACACGAGATGCTCATGCTGCCTTTTTCCGCAGCACGGTAGATCTAGTCATAGTAAAAACCAGCCCCTGCTTGCCTTCTCTACCCTAATTTTGGAGATCCTCCTTGTAAGTCGAAACTATTCGGAATTTTCGATTATTCACGAATACTTGGGTCTCAACCCTCCTTCTCTCATCTTGCAAAAGCTTAAAATATACCAGTGCTCCCATTCTAGGTCCGCCAAAAGTTCCACGATTTGGAACTTTTTAGTTCCAATTTCTCCCACTCAATGACCAACAAAAGTTCCGGAATTCTTTTTAGATATTTTCAAAAGTTCCGAGATTGTTCCGGAAAATGCAAAAGATTCGAAAAATTTTGTGAATTTCCAAAGTTCTGGGAAAAATTCAGGAAAATCTCAAAATTTCCGAAATTCGGTATTAGTTCCGGAAAATGGGAACACTGGAATAGACACAGAATATTGAAAAAAAACAGCCCACCTGTCTTCTTGAGAAACTCCTCAAGCTGGTCCAAATTATGATCCCCAAATCTGATGAGGGTGGGTTTGCTGTTGGCGTCGTGCCTGAAGATATATCCCGAAGCGGCCGCCGGTTTTAGGTCCATCCGGGGGTCCAATCGGGCGGGGGTGGCGTTCCGGGGGTCATCGGGGGGCTCGGCACCCTCGGCGGTGGTCCAACTGACGAAAACGGAACTGCACGCCACGAGAACACTAACCACTAACATTGTCACTTGCGAGTCGCATTTGGGTCCGGGTGAATGGCAAATGGAACCCGGCCTCGTGGCTGTCGCTGCGTTTTATACCCCTCCCACCACGGGCCCGCGGCCCCGCTAGGCCGGCGACGGTGGCCTTAGGTCTTGCTCCTGGGAGTAATTTGATCCCGGGATGGTGCCTTGGGGTGTTACATGGGTTGCGAGCCAATTTTTGTTTGGGAAGTGCGATTTGTTGAGACCGCCAAACAGAGTACCTCAATACAGGGCGTCGTGAGGTTAAACCACCAAAATACGCTGCCGTGCTAAGGAGGAACGCTATATGAATTTCCGAGGGTTGCCAAATTTCCCCAAACAAAACATGTAATTTTTTTTAAGGAAAATTCACATATATATATGTCTTGCTTTGGGGAGGAATTTGATCCCAGGATGATGCCTTGGGGTGTTACATGGGTTGTGGGACAAGTTTTGTTTGAGGCTTGTGGAGACCCAGAATTATGCCGCAATCAGACGCTGAATTTAGCACCTGAATGTGGAAGTCAACAGTCATCGCCCAACGGCTGAAATTTAGCAAATTCGAGTTATTTTCATCCAGATGTGTATCAAATCTACTCGAATAGTTCAGACAAATTCAAAATTGGTCCGATGGTTGCTGAGAATCGTTGCTGAATTTTGCGCATCACGCGCAAAATTCAGGCGTCGGGCCGATGACTTCCACATTCAAGCCACATTCAGCTCCCACATTCAGCGTGTGATTGCGGCATATGAGCACTTTCATACAGGGCGTCCTGAGGTTAAACCACCAAAAAAAACTGCCGTACTAAGGAGGAGCGCCGTATGAACTTCGGAGAGTTGCCAGTTTTCCTTCAATAAAATGTTCGTCCTCAAGAAAAGTCATGAATATTTTGTAAATAAATTTTCAGATAAGTTAGATCTTATTGCAAATAAAATGTTCTGGAAATTTTGAAAAATACCGATATCCCTGAAAATCCATAAACTTTTAATGCAAATTTGGGAACCTCTGAAAGCTCATACAGCTGTTTTCCTTAGCACGGAAGTACAGGAGCTATTATAGTCGTATGCTTCTGTGTTAAAGTAGATCGCCGTATGAACCTTCAAATGTTGTTACATATCATGTGATGAAAAATTTATTCTGGAGAAAAGTTGGCAATTTGTGACATTTTCAGATCGTGTTGATAGAATTACAAAAGTACGGCGAAACTCTCAAACCACGTAAATGATTAACATGTCAAATTTTAACGCCTTTAATTTTTTTGAAAAAGGTCGAATTAACATCGATTGTTAAAGTCTTTACAGAATTTCCATTGCACGGATAAGAACAATCACATAGATTTTTACGAATTCATGTCGGGAAAATTTCCCTTGAGATATAGAGTAAGAAAGGAAGTCTGCAACTTATATTTTCAAGTATTTCTGGAACATTTGTCTTTTAAGAGAGGAAATTCTTCTACGCCAGAATTTTTCAAGCGACATTTGCCTTAGAAATGCAGTATGGGTTAACATTATGTTTTCCTCTCTGCAGTTCTTCCCATAGTGCCCTTAGTTGATAAAATAACTGGAACCCCTTTCAAATTTTTCAGAGGTTCGTCCTCTTTTCTTATGGGACAGTCGACCAAACCTCATGGAAAATTCTGCCAACCTCCTTTACAACAAGGTAGAAAACTCTCCGGGCGACGGTGCGCCTACATTTGGACGTATCTCTATTAAATGGAACTATGTGCATTTTGACGCGAGCCCTGTTACGCATGTATTCTTATGGATCTCAGGGCTAATGTCTTAATGCACATAGTTCCGTTTGATAGAAATACATCCATTTGGTTTCCATGCTGGCAGCAATGATAACCTCATCGAAAAGTTTCGACCCATTTCCTGAAGTAGGGCGAAAAGTGGATGGATGCAAACGTTGGCCAAAATTCATCAAGCAACTGAGTTTAGTTCTTGACCTCAGCAGAGCGATTTTCTTCTTCGGTTTGCGACCCTGTTCATCTGGTCGGAAAATTCGACCACATTCACCAGCAGAAATTCGCCTAGCAAAATTTACGTCTAGGGGCCGAATTTTGTCGGCTTTCTCACACGGAGTGCAACAGCCATCGATGAGTTCAAACCGCACCACCGGCCAATCAGAAGCGCTAAGCCGGACTTAAGTGCAGTCGAGACCCGTCCTAAGTATATTGGCCTGGTTAGACGATCAAATTCTCGTCAAATTCCGATCAAAATGATGACCAAGATGACGGTCGAGAGTTATCTAGATTGATGAGTAAAATTAATTAAAACAGCGTGTTGATTGAAATAAGCATGAAATAAGCACGGTTGTGTGGAAATCAGATGAAGGATGAGCCCCACAGCTCCATCATCTACCATCAAATTTTTGCAGGCCGCAGAAATTTGATGGTAGATGGTGCGCACCAGTCACCATTTGATCGGAATTTGACGGGAATTTGATCGTGTTACCAGGCCATATTTTAGTACGGTGGAAGGACCGACGAAATTCGGCCCCTGGTATTCGTAAACAAACGTCAGTTATGGCAACTAGGCGGGGGACGGGTGATTAAGTGACCGGACAAAATGAAGCCTACTATTACTTCACAGTTCACTTATGACACAACGAACGCGGCAGTCTTTGACTTGGAACGACCTAGACCACCAACCGCGCGTTGGCGCTCCCAGTCCCAACAATGCACCGCTTTTCCCGCGATACCTCAACAGGAACACTCTTTCCATTTTTGATAATCGCCTCGTTTCGCTCCTTCATCCGCGGCTTGTCTCTCCTCGCGCTCCCGTTTAATGACATCTTTAAATGCTTTACGTAGCCCCCCCTCCCCCTCCACCACTTCTTGACGACGCGGATTTGCTGCGCCTGTATGGATTTTAAGCGCATACCTGATAGCGAACGGGTTTTTCTTTTCAACCAGCTACTAATAGTGCACTAAAAAAAGTGAAGTTAATTCAACATTCTGTATGTAAAAAAAATGTGCGAGGACTTATAAAATGCTGAATTACCCGCTACATTAGATACTTTAGCAATGCCAAGATGTAAAATTAACTGCTGTGGCGGGTAATTTAGCATTTTGTAAGTCTTCAAACACTTTTTTTACATCCAGAATGTTAAATCAACATCACTTTTTTCCGGTGTGTGCTAGAATGCGAGTACTGGAAAAATATGTGTTTTTTTTACCTATTTATTTATTCAGCAACAGTATAATTTTATAAGATGCTATATTGGCTTACAACATTTAAACACTAAATAACGGCAGAAATTACTTTAGGCTAAATACTCAAGAATTTACTGAATAACGCTATCCATCTCAATTAAAATGGAGGGTGTGTTTACCCGGAAGCGCATGACGGTATAGTATCGGCTGTGGCCCTATTAAGGACTGACAATACAAGTCTTTTCGTCTCTAGCACACTTTTCACGAAAAACTTGACTCTGCACCAGTCAGTGTTCGAAACTCACAGGCGCCAACGCGCCAAATTCGCCTACGAAATGAAGGCTCCGCGCCAAGAGGGCCCCTAAAAATTGCCCCTCTCTCCCCCAAAAATAAATCCTATAATTTTTCTGTTCGGTAATTTTTCGAAATTTTCCCCCAGTTACAGTTACTAGTTCTGTAACTAAAACATCTTGCGTCTAACTTCTCACTAAATGCACGGTGATATAGAGGCAAAAAGTCAATCTGGCCCCTAAAAAATCTTTAGTGGCCCCTAAAAATCGAACTCGTTGCGCCACATGGCTCCTGATACTCAAAGGTGAGTTTCGAACACTGCACTCAACACTGTGTTCGAGTTCAAATTTCAGGGGTGCTAGCTCAAATAATATTTATTGGAATTCGATGAATTTTAGTCCAAAACATTGTACTGAAGTAAGGGGGAGGGGCTCTTACGCACCCACCAGATTGCGTAGCCCGCAATGATAAACAATTCCCCGCTGCACTGACGTAAGGCCGTATCTCTATATCCCTTTGAGCCCCGGAAAGCGTAGATGTATACGGAGAATAGAGCTCAGGAGGAAATATAGATACGTCCTTACGTCAGAGGAGCGACGAATTGGGCCGGGAAAACTGCGGCGGCGATGGCGTTAACCTTGGCTAATTTTATGGGCATTATCTAAGGTCGTCGCAGAGGCGTCCGGCGTCCCGATCCAGATCGACCAATCAGCGTTGCCGAATCGGAACGAGCCTCGACCGGCGGACCAATCAGAGACCAGGGGTCCCCCGCGAACGGGCAACAACGCGGCCAATTCACCGGAGATTGTGACGTAATTCGCGGGTGTCGATGACAGGGTTCGTAATCGGGCGTCGTCGTTGCTACCGTCGCACAGTGGACCGAGTTGATGGAACAAGTTGGACATTTAATTTTTCGCTAAAATTTCAAATTTTGATGATTATTCCGTCACAAATTCAATTTCAAAGAGTGTTTATGATTGTAAATTTCAGGACAAAACCAATGAAACCAGTCTTAAACTTCTTTGCTTTTCGAAAGTATAAGCTTTCAAAGTTTCCAGACATTGTCCGACTTCCCTTATTGGTTCGTTTCTTTGTGCGCCGCGACTGCACCGAAGTCCGTAGATTCTGGAGATAACTCACAATCGGTACTGAAGAACGTAAACGGGTCGTTACAAACTTATGCTATGGCGAAAAGAAGAGTTGTTCAAGAGGGAAAATGGTTCGAAAATCACTAGGAAGTAGGAAGGTATCGGAAATATCTAAATATCACACCTCTGACACGGCCATATTCTCGAAGTAAATCTCTAATTGGACATCCAAGCGCCTATTTGGTTTTCGATGCCTGATCGATAAGCTTCTGCAGTATATAATAATTCATAAAAATTAGAGTGTGATTAAGCTCATAGAAATGTTTCTGGATTTTTCTTTTAAACGATATAATAACCCTACAAAAAAAAGGAGTCAAAAAGCGAAACGATGGCGTCCGAAAATATAGCACTTATCCCGGTCACGATCCCGATTGTTGGTTGCATCTCTCGCAATCTGTGCAGC